GGTGGTGCCTCTTCAATGGTGGAAACCACAAGGTGTGACATTTGAGAGTTTTCAACAGCCAAGTGTCTTGTCACTTACTCTGAAGTGAAGCCCACATCCAGAGAAAGGTACGTACTATAGGGAGAGGAGCATGGTGATTCTTGATGCCTGCATTCCAGTTATTTCTGAGATATATCCTCTGCCTTTTCCCACTTTTGCTTCCACCCTTCCTAGAATTTATGAGCAAAATATTCCATTTTTTTTTTGGCCTAAGAGTGCTCAAAGTGGGTGTCTTATCTTGTAACTAAAAGAGGCCATAGACACAAAGTAGATGATAGTCCAGGGCTCGGAGGCATGGTGACACAGAGTACAGAAATGAGTGGGACAAGGACCAGGTGCCAGCCAAGGTAATCTGTGGCAGCTGGTCTTCACTTAGGTAACCTGTGCTCTGCAAACTGTTTGCTTCTTGACTTTCATATGTCTCTTTAATATCCTTTAGTTTCCCAGACAAGTTTTATTTTTAAGAAATGGAAGCCAGTCTCAGTCGAGCCAAAGGGAAAGATTTTCCTCACCTGGGCTGGACTAGCTCAGGGTCTCAGACTGTAACAGAAACCAGGAATAGTAAAGGCAGTGACCCAGGGCAGCTAGAGAAGCATCTAGGAGCAGAGAAATCTGGGGTGACTCTCATTCCTGAGCCCTTCCCATCCACAATTTTGTGTCCTGTATCCTCGGGGGCACTCGGCCAAGCAGGAAGCCATATCCATAGCAAAAGCAGACTGGAGGAGAAATGGCCTCTGTGGTCATGGGAGCATCTAAGGAGAAGAGATAGGAAGGTGGCATGGTGACTCAGCCAGGGAATTCCCAGCATTGTTTTCGCTGAGCCAAGGCCTTTCCCTTATGTGTTGGTTAACTCGGGGCAAGTCTCTTCTGGAAACATGACAAGAGGCCAGGGCTGGTACTTGTTCTTTGCCTGAGCTGAGCAGATGAGACATCATTTTTGGTATGGCATGAAGCAACACAAAGACAGGATGAAGCCTGAGCACGAGATGATTCCAAAAGAGCTGTGAATGCTGAAGGAGGCGAAGTCTCGTGGAAACACCTGAAGGCCACAAGCAGTGATGGAGTCTGGAATCTGAACAAGGAAAACAACTACTGCTTAATAGTCTGAAAATACCAACAACATGTGAAATCAATACCCACACCTCTTTTTTTTTTTCCATTCTTTGCTTCTCATCTCTCCCATAGTTGGCATCACTACCATTAGGTAAAAATGCATCCAACATTTGCAAAGGTTAACCACCATATATAAAAATTGATTTAAAAAAATTAATTTCTTCTGTACAGCACAGGGAACTATATTCAATATCTTGTAATAACATTTAATGAAAAAGAATATGAAAATGAATATATGTATGGATATGCACGACCAGGACATCATGCTGTACACCAGAACTTGACACATTGTAACTGACTATACTTCAATAAAATAAAAAAAAATTTTAAATGCATCCAACAATTTGAGAGGAGAAAAAACTTCCGATTTCAAATATTTTCCCTGGCCAAATATTTCACAGACTTCTCTAAAAGAGAAGCGGTGTAGTATTGTGGTTAGAAGCAACCCACCACTAGCCTGTACCACTTTGAGCTGACTGAGCTGCGCCGCTTGCCGAGGATGGTAGGAAAGGATGCACACTTCAAGGAAAGCTGTTCTTCAGGAGGGAAAGGGATCTACACTATGGAAGTTATGATTAGGGAAGTAGAATCGGGGCAATGTCTGTGTTTTCCAGGGACCAAGTTTACGTGATAATGCAGGGTATGTGCTCTCCCCCAGGCTCCACCTTAAAGCCCAAGCAGAAAGATTTCTCTACCAAACACCATGACCTTGAGGTCAGCCATCAGCTCACAAAGTTCCTAAGGTCATTAGGCTGGCGGGGAGAGAAGTCCTCCCCTCTTGGGTAGCAGAGTCCCACTCAGATTGCTTTCACCTGCTTCCTCATCTCAGCTGGGCTTCTTCTAGCATTCACAGGCCCTGAGGACCCTACAGTCAAGCTTCTGTCTCAGCATGAGTCCTAGCCCTGCTCCCTTGCTATTCCCCAGCCTCTGCACTCCAGATTGAGGCTCTCTGCCCCTGGCCGCTACCCCCAGCAATTGGCCCCAAGTTTTCTGAGTATCTTAGAGAACATACAAAGAGGTTTCCAAATTTCAGATTTCAGATATTTGACACAAGTCAAACTCAGATGACCTTCATTAAACCGATGACACTAGCAAGTAGTCTGGCAAACATGAGAAATGTATGAAATGTAATAGCCCAGAGGATTCCAAACAATTACAATATAAGGATTCCATCTATTTTTTCCCACATTTTTAAAGGACAATCTTTTGAATGTATTAGCATTCTGTTCTCTGGGAAAAAAAGTGTTCTATAGAGTCAAGATTCCAATTTAATAAAAATGGCTGTATTTATAAGGGTGGAAGTGGAGGCACTCAGCCTTGAGAGAGGGTTTACTCAAGAACCCTACGCCTCCAAGGCCAATATCAGTGTGTTGCCTGCATGTGCCAGCTGAAGCCAGCTCCTTGCAGCCCCGACGTGGCTTTGCTGCTTCTCCAGACAACCAGCCCCCTCTGACATTGCACAAAGGCCCGGCCCCAAGCCCACCCCAACGGCCTCCATGTTGACACTGCTTTTTGCGTCTATCAGCACACAGGTGTGGATCCTCACCCTCGCACCTGCACATGGTCGA